GTGAACATGTTGATGATTCACTAAGGTATAGGTTTTAGCAGTTCAGTTTGCTTTCAGCACGGCAAAACCGCAATTAGACACGGACATTTTACACATAAATGCTTCCAAAAGAATAGGTTATTTACATCAGAAAAACTTACACATGTTAATGTTTATGATCGGAGATCACGAGAAAACGCTTACCTGTCGCCTTTTGCGATCTGTCAGAACTTCAGGACCTTCTGGTAGAACTGCATGTCTTGTTGGAACAGAGCCCTTGATAAGAACTTTGTTCCGTTTTATCTGCGTCATACCGTCCAGCGAAAATGCCAAGCTGCCCTCGTAACAACTTTGCTCAAAGTGAGCCGAACACAACGAGGCATGTTTGGCAACAGGTTCGCCGAAATCAACTCGGTGCCGCTGCACGAATTTCACCCATTGGGCTCTCACTGTTGGATTTACAGGAAACTGGTGCATCGAAATACCCGGTGTGTAGCTGGTATTCGTACAGCTTCTATTGTTGGGCGCCCCAGCCACACAATAACGTCCACCTTTCCGTACTGGCCTCTTCTTTTCCGCCATAGACCACTTTCATAAATGGCTGCCGGATTAATATTAAATTTGCCCGAGTGGCCTCGCTTGAGATAATGTATTCTTTTGAATTTTGTACTGGAGAACGAGGCCACCCTGGCAAATTTATATGTAAACAAAAGAATTTTAATCCGGCAGCCATTTATGAAAGTGGTCTAATGAGAGTCAAACAACCTGACGTCACAGGTTAAGTTCACGTGACCTTTTGGCCGCGCGTTCGAGGGGACAAATTTTAAGCCAACTTAGCGCGTAGTTTAACGAAAACTATGTGTTTACAATTATTTTCAACGATTTTTAACTCTCGAACCGTTTGTTATATATATCGAACTAGCAGAAAAGAAAAAAAAAATTTCATGTCATATACACTTTAATAGTAGAGGAAGGTATTCAGCAATTAAAAACAAGGCACCAATCTCGATTTAAAGCAAGATGTGTGATGACATAGCATGCGTGATAACGATTCTTTTGGTATGGCAAAGTATAATGCTTCATATGTGACTTGTTTGCTCATGATGAAGACGGGAAGCGATGACGTGTGAAATTTCGTGCTGATGCGCGATACGAGATCCATGATGGAAATACGTAGCTATGTCGAGCAGTCGACAATTACCTAAATAAAATTACCTTTAATCGATAGTTTCGTCCATGCTTTACTTACCAAACTCACAGCGGTTTCCATAGTAACCACGTGCACAGAAGCAGCGGAAGGTCTGATTTGTGTTTTTACACTGCCCACCATTCAAGCACGGCGAAGGACTGCATTTGTTGGGTTCTTGTACTGAAGGCCAAACAAAGTAAAGACTTACTTGCAACAAAGGTTGACAACGTTAACACCATTCTTACCGAACAGCTGAAACTCTTACATTGCTTAGCCTGCCTGGTTGATAAAAGCAGTTAGCAAATAACTCAAACAGTGCTTAAAATTTTGTGACGTTAAAAGACCACTTTGTTATGGTAATTTGAAAACAACTTCCACTCACTTGAGTCGCAAATTTCTCCAGTAAAACCAGCTGGGCATGTACAATTGAATCCATTCAGGAAACGTTTGCATTTTCCTTTATTCTGACACGGACTGCTAAGACAGGGGTCTATATTGTTTTGAACAACTAGAGAGAGAATAAAAAGTTAGTCGAGAAAAAGTCATACCGTACCTAAGAGATAGTGCTGAAAACTGGACATACTTAGATACAAGAAAACGCATTTGTAAGTTCCCCTTACTGGAAAATAGTTACTCCACCTACGTATTTATTCGAAAAAAAAAATCCAATTACCTTTGCAAACAGTTTCCTGTAAAGTATCAAAAATGTTAAAAAGGGATTCAAATGTTGCGTTGAAGACATTCTTATTATCAGGTTCAGACGCCATATCTGCGAGCTCACTGTACACAGCATTACCAACGCCAATGGAAACGATATGGACGCCTTCATCACGTAGACTTTTCGATGGACCCGAAACGTCGTCTTCCGATTTACCGTCTGTTAAAATGATAAGAATTTTGGGAATTCCCTCCCTGGCCATGCTGAAGAGATGTGTTCTTATTGTACTCAACGCGGCGCCTGTATAAGTACCACCTGCGTCATAAGGAATGCTCTGTACAGCATTGACCAACTCATGCGTGGCGTAGTATTCACTAAAATTGAAGCGAACTCTGAAACTGTTTTGCGAGGAGAAGGTGGCAAGTCCAATTCTGGTGTCGTTCGGCCCAATAACTACAGCCTTGACGAATCCTTTGATGAAATCTTTGATTCGTTGATAGTTATTTTTGTCTGCTTGATTGATGCTGCCAGAGCTATCCACGAGGAATAAAACATCAGCCTTCGTTTCATTACAACCTTAAAATAAGAGCAACATGGAAAGAAAAACGAAAATTAACTTGTGAATACCATGATAACGCAAGCTGCGTGTAACTCAGAGTAACGGTGAAACGATCTTCCTGTCATTGATTTATAACCGCTATATATATATAAATAGAATAAATGTTTGAAAAGAAAATCTGCCCTGAGCGGGATTTGAACCCACGTCCCCCTGTTACTAGTCAGGTGTGATGACCACTACACTATCAGGACAACCATGCTGGCTATACGGCAATCGAAGATGTGATTTACGTGATGGGAGACGTGGTCTCCTGGAAACTCAATTTTCAAGGTGACAGGGTAGGGGAAGCCTATAACCCCATATGAAACCCAACTAAGGATCTATTAAAGAAACACGACCGAAGTCAACTTAGCGGATGACGAAGGAGGATCCAATTATGGATACAGGCTAATTTCAATTAATTGTTTAATTGAAATTAGCCTGTATCCGTAGTTGGACAATTTCAATTAAACAATTTCTATTTGGCTAATTTCAATTAAACAATTTCAATTAATTGTTTAATTGAAATTAGCCTGTATCCGTAATTGGATCCTCATTGTCATCCGCTAAGTTGACTTCGGTCGTGTTTCTTTAATAGATCCTTAGTTGGGTTTCATATGGGGTTATAGGCTTCCCCTACTCTGTCACCTTGAAAATTAAGTTTCCCGGGAGACCACGTCTCCGATCACATAAATCACATCTTCGATTGCCGTGTTGCCAGCATGGTTGTCCCCTCATATATATATATATATATAGCTATGTGGGTAATCACGGATCTCTAACTGCGACGTGAAACTTAGACCCTCAATCCTAAAGAGCTTTCTGTTGAGCACTGTAAAATTAATATTTCAATCATCACTTTGATCATTCAGAAAAAAAGACCTAAATATCACAAAGGACACTCTTGAAACTTCAGCATCCTCGAAGTTCGCAATGCGTATCACAGTCGTTCACGGACGAGTGCCTCTAAGGTACAGTGCGCTTAAGTAAACTTTTCTCCTCTAAGAAATGTGTTAAAATGAATAAAGAATGCATTAAATGTCACGCTTGTTAACTTACGGATTGTACAGTTATGATCATATAGACCGTCACTACAAAGACAACGTGATCCTCCAGGATAGTTATGACAAAGTTGGTTTTCACTGCATTTTGTCACATTAGCAGTACACTCATCAACATCTAAGGAAAATGCAAAAACAATTGTTGAGAAGGCCACCACTCTTCTTTAAGTACAGCTCATATCAACTGAGTCTCGTTAACTGAGACCAAAATGTACAAAGGTCAATCGTAACTATGGAATATGTCATATAAAGAATCAAAGAAAACTCAACTTTATACTATTAGAAACCGCCTGAAGCACTGGGAAAGGGTGTTAGTAGCAAATAACTGACTCGTTGGGAAGGGTGTGAGGGTTTTTTAATACAATCACTGAGCAATCAAAAACTTGACTAAAGCAATGCATTAATTACTTTCAATACTCAGTTGAAACTGTCACTGCCTAATAATTGTTACGTACTACCATTGAGGAAAACTGAAGTTATTTGCAGTAAGTTTTCTAATGCTGTTCAGGTTGGTTAGTGCGGTAGAAGAAAGGTGTTAAATAGAAGTGAAAGAAAAGAAACCAGGAGGCGTCGTTATCCAACTCACCAATTGAGCAATTCTTTCCTGTCCAACTTGATGTACAATTACAGTGAAAATCATTCGCTAAGCTGGTACAAATTCCATTATTCTCACACGGATTATTTCTGCAAACGTCTATAGCTATAGTATAATGAAAAATGAATAAGAAAATGTAAACATAGGAATAAAAAACGCACACCAAATAATGGGTTTTTATGCAGTACTATGCTGTGAATTGTAAAAACGAAAGGAAAATTGCAAAACAAATAAGCGAAATTTCATCCATCGAACAGGCAACCTGTAACCAACCTACGTTTTCTTGGTAGCGAGTTACCTTAAGCAACAGCAGCCTCAGTGAAATTACGTTAATGAGCAATAGGGTAAGTTTCTGAAAAACATAGTTGTGCTGCGTCGGTTAGGGGTGCAATGAGATAATTTGTTTTGATAAATTAATTTGATATTGTAAATTGGCCATGCACCCAAATAAGTTTCTAAGTAAAGCTTAGAAACTTTTTACGGTGGCCAATTTATACATTATCTATTTGACAAACCAAATTATCCTGAAATTGTGCTAACTTACCAAATCAAGAGTGTATTACAAAGGTTCTGTTACTAACTTTTTTTTAAGTGTGTGATTTTATGTCAATTCTTGAACGAAATTTGAAAGATCCTTTAGTCGAAATCAATCTTCTCTGCTTACCAGAACAAATATTCTCACGAAGCGAACCAGCAATTCTTTGTAGATCTGAAAATTTAGCTTCAAAAACGTGATCTTGATCAGGATCCGTTGCCATCTCGTTTAACTCAGGCTTGTAATAACAGCAGCCAACACCGACACTAAAAATCGTCACCCCTACATCTCGTAGAGCACGAGCCGGACCAACTATACTGTCCTTGGATAATCCATCGGTCAAAACAACCACGATTTTAGGAACATCTCCTCTAGCAGGTCCTAGATTTTTTAATATGTCATTGCGAATAACGTTTAAGCCTTGCCCAGTGCGAGTACCATCTGAGGGGAAATCCATGCCTTGAATTGCGTTTTCTACGCCAGCCAGTGTGTAAAAGGTATCCAGACGATGGATTATGCGATAGTGTTGCGAATACAGAACAGTGGCAACGTTGGTTTGGTTTGGACCAATTTCAAATTCACGGACGAGAGATATCAAAAAGTCTTTGGAACGTTGAAAGTTTCCTTTTCCTTGAAGTTCTATGCTTCCAGATCCATCGACTAAGAACACCAAATTGAATCGTTGACTTGAACAAGCTGAAGGGGAGGAAATAAAAGATAAAGTTGAAGGTTTTATTTGAGTGATACACCTGACTTGTTTTCTGAATTAACGACACAGGAGTGTGTTAGTGGAACAAAGTGACACCCTAGCAACTCGAAAATAAAATTTTGCCTCATTATGCATTTGAGTTAAAAAAAGAGAGGACAAACTTTATCCTCTCTTTGTTTAAACCACTCAATCAACCAGGCCCTTATTGTTAATGACGGAGCGAGCATTTTTTGAGAATCTAAAATAGCATTGATAATGCCAGACCTCTGGCAAACCTCTTTCCGACTCCAGCGCCTCGTATCAAATTTTCTCGTGGGAAGGGGGTGAAAGGTGCACGTCCTTCAGCCTTGATAATAAGGGCTTGCTCACAGATTAGTCAGTTAGCTCGTGAGTACTTTGTAGGTAAGTCAATGAAACACCGGAAAGATCTAAGCTATCTCCTGCAGTGTTCAAATTATTATTTGACTGACTCGGTCTATTTGTAATAATTAGTCAAATGAGACATCCAAAAAGCACTTACCAATTTCACACTCCTTTCCGGAAAATTTCTCTGTACAATTACATTTAAAAGCACCCAAAAGATCTCTACAAGTCCCGCCGTTCTTACAGGGTGCTGAATCGCATTCATTCACGATATCTGAAATTTACATATCACAAAAATATTGAGCCAAAACCGTCAAATATCTAAGAACGTCTTAAGTTAATCATAAAACCTCCTAAGTTACCAGTGAACTCGAGGTGTACGCTGCCACAGAGTTGATATTATGTACATCCATTGTCACCTGATTGCTTTTTTTATAATATGCGGCACCTCAGACCTGATATGTCGTGTTTGTTACATTCTTTCTAGCCACTCTAGTCTACTATGATTTATCACATTAAGTTTGCTATGCTGTAACGTTAAGAAAGGCATGTCGTTGCTCTTAACTGATAGGCTTTCTGGCTTGCAAGTTGACTTAATTTTAATGACCAAGTCATTATTGATATCAACAGCTAAAAACCAACGTGACACAGACCTTCCGTACAGTTCACACCTCCGATCCCCGCTGGACAAGTGCAATTGTACGTGTTGTAACCGACAGCTAGACATTTTCCTCCATTTTTGCAAGGGTTAGGCTCACACACAGAGGGGGCTGAAAAAAAAGAGAATTTTGTTAATTCAAATGTCAAAGGTTTTCAAACCTACGTGCTTAATGACTGCAATAAATAAAAAGAAAAATACAAGCTTCAAACAGCCGTCCCCGATCGACGATCTTGACCCTCCAAACGCAAGTTCAAGTTTGATCAACGTGACGTCAAGCAACACTTGATAAGACCTCCAACAATGTTAGCTGACCAAATGATTTTTTAGATTTTAAGCCCTTTCTTCGTTTATCTCTATCTTGAAAGGAAACGCGAGACAATTATGGCTTAAAAGCATCTGTTCATAGAGTTCACCATCTTATTGACCAAGTTCGCCAGATAGAAATATCAAAATATTCAAATATAGGGGCAAGTCTCGTGATTAAGAAATCTAGAAACGTTTTCAGTGGAAATGGTGAATTAACTGGGCAGCTCTTCTTTATATTAACTTTATAGAGAGTCAGAGTTTTACTTTTAAAATAGGTATCTTGTCTCTTTTCGAGGCTTTGTGAAACTGAAAGTAGCCTATAAAGTTAAAGGACCTGAATAATAATAATAATAATAATAATAATAATAATAATAA